TATGCCATAAAAAAAACTACTCGTTTGGTTTGCAATTTGGTTAACTGCAATAGAACTGCAATTGGACTGCACTTTTGGTTTGCAGAGGGCAAAGCACGAATAACTATCGCATTCGTATCGTAACAGTATCGAGCGAGTTAAGCGTTCTGATTGGTTGGTTCACTTGAGCCGGCCAATCAGAGCGCCGAACGCGCTCGATACTATTACGTTACGAATGCGATAGTTATTCGTACTTGGCCCTCAGTTCTGTTGCAGTCGTGACACGACTGCATACAAACTGCAACCGAACTGCAATTTGCGGTTGAATTGCAGTTGAAATTCGGTCCGCCTGTATAGAGCCTTACTCATATAACTATTTGACGAGGAACTCGACTAGTTTCAAGTAGTCGCAGTGTGACAGTCGCCGCGTCGTGTGTATCGGAACACTGCTCATGAACATGAGCCTCTAGCATGGCTTGATACTAGTCGAGTTCCTCGTCAAATTACTACGTGAGTAAGCCGAAAACACAATAATTTATTTGGTACCTATGTCTCATGAAAGGTTTAATATACAGAAATATGTTATTTTTACATCTAATTACGGTGGCTGGGCAACCGGCTGCCGTGCACCGTGTCGCGGATCCGATTGCCGCACGGAACAACGCTTTGTGTGATCCACAGATTGTTGTTCCGGGTCTGGGTGTCATGTGTATGTGAACTTGTATGTTTGTAAACGCACACACGACACAGGAGACAATCCTAGTGCTGGGCAATGTTTAAAAAAAAGAACACAATAAAGAAATTAATGTTAAGAAAAATTTACTACTTATATTATGAGTCCCATATACCTCGATCATACCATAAACATCGAGTATCTTTCTAGATTCAGCATTCAGCAATAAAGCTTTGCACGATACATGAATCGAACCAGAACTCGTCACTGCAGGGGTATATACATACATATATAACTTCACGTCTGTCTCCCATGGGGGTAGGCAGAAATGCAACGCCAATTGATACCTCTTTCGCTTCATCAACAGTCATCAATATTTTCATGCATGCTCGTCTGTTAGTGGAAACTATCGGTTTTCTTCTTCTCCTCTTATAATATCTTCTGATTCACTTCGTCGCGGGAACCAAGACAGTTACTCATGTCCCTGGGACGCGCCGGACTTCAGTGTTCCGGTGTTTTCATGGTTGCATTTGGCCCTTGACCCGTCCCCCTAACGCCAGCCTCCTAAGGTCGTCGAGGCAGTTAGGAATGAACCCAACCGACCCGACCCCTTTCATAATATCTTCCGATTCACTTCGTCGCGGGAACCAAGACAGTTACTCATGTCCCTGGGACGCGCCGGACTTCAGTGTCCCGGCGTCTTCATGGTTGTATCTCCTGTAGATCCTGGCTTACAGGAGTTGCAGTGGTTTTGGGAGGTTGTGGCGGGCTTGTCCCTTAAAAAAGGTCTCGTCGGTAAGGGTACTTTTAATTTGGCCCTTCTTTAATAATTGTCAATTGAAAATCAGTGCTGGGTGCTCAATGCGACGAATTTTAGTTGAGTTGTCAACCTTTTTGGTGTGGTAGGCATGTTTGTCAGTTGTGTCTGTGATTTATTATTTACACACTCACTACACTACACATACTCCGCGCACACACAATTGTTTAATGTTACACGTTTGGTTTACTGAATAATTGTAAAAGTAACTACGCACGAATTGATGTCTCATATAATACAGGATTTTCCTAGTATAGGGGACATTAATCATCTAATTAAATGTAAAAGGAACTCGTATACTTGATATGTAACAAATAATGTATTTTCTTTTTGAGCAATAAATTTATTATTATAATTATTAAAAGAGCACTCTTTTGACTGCCTCTTTGGCCGAGTGGTCGCAACTGCGAATGCCGGGCAAGGAGTCTCGGGTTCGTTTCCCGGGTCGGGCAAGGTATTACTGGGTTTATGATAAAAATTCTCAGCAGTAGCACGGAGTCTGGAATTGTGCCCGGTATATGGCAATAGGCTCACACCCTATTACATGGGACTCATAACATAAATAGTGAAAAGTGGGTGTTACATCATCTGATCGAGCCAAATAGGTAGGTACCTACATATATGACAAATGGTATATTTATTATAATATATACCGAAACATGTATTTTATAATTTATGACAAAAAAGTATGAGTATAATATGTTGATTAAGTGTACAAAATTTTTATGATTTATTATTGTCAAAAAAAACTATAATTTTGTTCCGTGTTTGTGTATGACAAAATGTTGTAACCTTTTTTTGGAAAAATTCTGTATGTATATGCTAACGAAAATGATAGGTAGGTACTGCATTCCACGGTGCTTATAAATTTTACAAGCATTTTTTATTTAAAATTCATTAAAATATATTGTATATAGTTGTACACATTTTTATTTATTTAGTACTAGCTACCCGCCCCGGCTTCGCACGGGTGTAATATGCATACATTATACATTTATAAACCTTCCTTAAGAATCACTCTGTCCAGTATAAAAAACCGCATCAAAATCCGTTGCATAGTTTTAAAGATCTAAGCATACTTAGGGACAGACAGACGGCGGATAGCGACTTTGTTTTATACTATGTAGTGATTTTATTTTTAGCTATGATCGTTCCACTGCAGGGCAAAGGCCTCCCTACCCTCCTTCCACTCGTCTCCTCTTGAAGCTTTCTGTGGGCAATCCTTTTCATAGGCATCAAGTTCATCCGCCATCTCCTTCTGGACCTACCGCGACGTCTATTGACGTTGAGTGGGCTCCACTCAGTAGTGAAATCACAACTTCTATACAAGGTGTAGTTTTGAAGCCGTGTCATTTCTCGGGGGCATGTCACAGAAGTCATAAAGGTTCAATGTAAAAGAAAGTTTCGGGCCAATAGTTAAAAATACGGCTATAATAAATCGTTTAAGTTCGACAGTATTTCAGAATAAGCGACAGCCATGTTTCTTATTGGAGTTTTATGGAATAGGAATAATATCAATTACGTGTTTGAGTTTGTGTGTGTTGAGCCGCGTTATACCTCTAAAGCTAGTTACAAGACGGCGGCGTGTAGTTCGCACTTACGGATTTCCGTAATTTACAGAAAAATGAAAAATATTTATGTACAATTTTTTTATTGATTCGGACTCAGAATCGATAGCCGAGTTACCTCCTAGAAAATGACGCGGCTTTAAAACAACACCTTGTATACAACACAACACACTTTTATATAGACCGTGAAATATATGTCGTTTTAGTCCCGAAGTAAAATGGTTCTGTCTCGGTAATACAATAGTTTTACAAACAAATAAAATGTTTAAAACAAAAAATAACTGGTGAACCATTGCAAAAAGCGAACTTCGAAAGCGCATACGAACTCGTTGTAATTTTTTGATGCTATCTGTAAATAGTCATTTTTGGTTTTGTTTTATTTAAAATTCTGTATTAGATTTAGTGTTATCTTAAGTACATTTATTTTTTGCTTTCCTTATATTATCTAACTCAGAGTACATTATCAAAACATCACGCCATATAATTGTCGAAGAGATATTTCTCGTCGGGTGGCACGTGCGATGTGAATAGTGCCTACAAATTTACGTCTAGTGTTTCATGTGCGTAGTTACATGAAAACTGTGAAGTGAATTAAGTATGTTTTGTTGTTTACATATTTAGTTTATCTTTTTGTTTTTACTTTATCGTGTATACGTTCGGGTCTGTTTCTGGTCGGACGGGGAGCCAGAGCCCAGGCCCGGCTTACGGTGGCCGGAGATCGTCTCGCGATCCCCGAGGCCCGGAGTGTCCTTCGCGATGGCTGGGTTGCGATGAGGCAGTGCTTCGCTGCCTCACGCATCCCGCCTCCTCCTTAGCTAGCATAACTGCTTCGCAAAAGGAGGAGACGGCATCCCAGTCCCCCTCGCTCCGCATCATGACTCGCACTAGGCCCGGACGCGAGGGGTCGCCATCGCCGATCACATCCCTGAGGGCACGGCGGTACTCAGCCCACGCAGGGCATTCCGCTACAGTATGTATGTTCCACCGTGTCCTCAGGGCGGTCCTCGCAGTGATGACACCCGGGGGTTTAATCCCGCCCCATCAGACACAGGTACCTCCCGAAACTTCCATGTCTGGTGAGGACCTGCGTCAGGCGGTAGGTGAGGACGCCGTAGCGTCTCTCAAGCCATTCCTCAAAGAGAGGACTTACCGCTGCAATGGCAGCGAGCCCAGCCCTCGGTTGCGACAGTCGTTGCTGCCATTCCGCCATGAGATCGCGCCGGAGCTCATCCCGCCACGCACTTATCTGGCGCGGCAGCGGAGTTTCGCCCCGGCGACGTGCCTTCGCGCGCATGCGATACACGCGCGCGAGCACCTTCGATAAGTAATGCTTAATGCTAATAAACTAATAACCTTCATAACCTTAGGACATAATATATTCAAACCTATTTTTAACCAACATCAGTGAACAAAAATGATTTTATTAGATATTCAAAACAGGTTTAACAATAATTATTCATTAGTCATTACACAACTGAAGGTCGACCATGATATTTTAAACTATATTTATAAGTACGTAAACATACTATAACATAACGCCTTTTATCCCCGAAGGGTTATTGCAGAGGTGCACATCCACTTAATGCCACTGTACAATGTAACACCCACTTTTCACTATTTATGTTATGAGTCCCATGTAATAGGGGGTGAGCTTAATGCCATATACCGAGCACAGTTCCAGCCTCCGTGCTACTTTTAAAATAAAAACTCCAGTAATACTTTGCCCGGCCCGGGAATCGAACCCGAGATATATGTACTTACGAACACTCGGTCAACGACGCAGTCAATAATACATTTAATACTAAATACTTCGAAATTTTTGTTGTTGACGTTCAAAAGTGCTTTTCTGGTCTAATTGAAATAAATGATTTTGACTTTGACTTTGAGTTTGACTTTGACTTTGAATAGTATTTTTTATATTTTCACAGATATCAAAACCCAAAGGTTGTGAACAGGAGAGAAGATGATCAAGAACAAATTCTATCAGTACGGGAATCAAAATGGGCGTGTCCCAGCTCACCTGAACTTTGGGAAAGAAGTCTATGACAATATGGTTGCCAATAAAGACATTGTCGCATTGGTGAGTATATACATATACTAGCTTAGATCGCGACTTCATCCGCGTAACATAGTGATTCACAGCTTCTCCCCCGTAGTTGATACCATGATAATATGTAGCCTATATGTTGACCCGACCTGTTAGTAATATTCATGAAACATTTGAAGTAAATCATGCAGTAGGTACTTTTTGAGTTCATCCTGGACATAAATCTTCGACAAACACTGAAGGTGTTTTTTCTGTTTAATATTAATAGGGTAGATGACTAACTTTTACTCCAATGTCCGTCTGGTAGATATTTGACACATTCACTGCGGCAGCGTTAAATCTAAACTTTCTACTAGTGCGAAACGAGACAAATGCTGCCCGTATGTTTCCTGATATACGTTACGGCTTCTATTTTGCCGTACCAGACCCTGACTTTCAAAGCCTATACAGACGTGGAAACCGCCTATATCAATGGTTTTTATCAACAAATCGATAGACTGTATCCTTGTATGTACCTAGCTGCTGGCAGTCGCCCTGGGTTCTCTGTTATACTTTGAAGGATGCAGAGATTTTTCAAAATCTCCAAAAAGCGCAAGGGAACTTAGATAAATCGCCCCCGCACAGTACGCAAAACAAGGACAACGAGCTACCGCACTGGCTGAGAATCAAATACGGGCAAATACTTGCCGTAACGCAGTGAATGTGTTAAAAACATTACACACGTATTTTTTATTTTCTTACAGAAACGAATAGTTTCGACGATATATTGATTTGAAATATCGCATGTCGTCACTTTTGAGTACCATTTATACTCTAAAATGACGTAGCTACCTCCCACTCGTAAACTTTGATTCGTTATTTATCTAAGTATTATTTTCTTATAAGCCAAAATAAAAAAAAATCGTGTCTAATATTTTTTAATTACCTAACTGACGGACTAATTAGATTTTTAATTTTCATACCCTGTCATCATCCCTAATCTCCACGAACTTTTGCCTTTGTCATACATTTTGCACCGAAGATGTTACAAGTGCGTTACCGGCCGGGGATTAAGAATTTGATTATTGTTGGGGATTGGGGAAATTGAGGAAGGGGGTAACTGGGCGTCCGGTAACCTCACTCACACAGCGCAAGCTTCGCTTCACGTCGGCTTTCTGCTCGGCCGTGGTATCACTCCGGTCGAGCCGGCCCATTCGTGCCGAAGCATGGCTCTCCCGTACACGTATATGCATCATGAATAAAATTGCGTCCGCTCAAACGCAAAGCCCATGTAACATACAATGGATTAAGGTTCTTGATAAATTTTACGACATCTAATATCACGCGGCGCCGATTTATAATTCCTTACACGATTTATGCTGCATAGTAACTGTGACTGCTTCATTGGCCGAGTGGTCGCAAGTGCGACTGCCGGGCAAAGGGGTCACGGGTTCGATTCCCGGGTCGAGCAAACTACTACTACTGGGTTTTTAAAAAATTCTCAGTAGTAGCCCGTGCTACTACTGAGAATTTTAAGACTCCAGACTCCGTAGTCCGAAGTTGGGCCCGGTATATGGCAACAGGCTCACCCCCTATTACATGGGACTCATGACATAAATAGTGAAAAGTGGGTGTTACATTGTACAGTGGCATTAAGTGCCGTAATGTGCACCTGTGCCTACCCCTCCGGGGATAAAAGGCGTGAAGTTATAAGTAAAAAAATTAAATATGTATTAAAATATCTTTATATATAACTGCCTAGTGCCTCGTTGGCCGAGTGGTCGCAAGTGCGATTGCCAGGCAAGGGGTCTCGGGTTCGATTCGGGCAAAGTATTACTGGATTTTTAAAAAAATGTCAGTAGTAGCACGGAGTCTGGAAATGTGCCCGGTATATGGCAATAGGCTCACCCCCTATTACATGGGACTCATAAGATAAATAGTGAAAAGTGGGTGTTATATTCTACAGTGACATAATGTGCACCTCTGCCTATCCCTTCGGGGATAAAAGGCGTGTTGTTATGTTATATCTTTTATATACCTACGTATGCCTATTATGCCCTGGAAGCTGGAAAGGTCTTTGGTCTGGAACTCCGGACTCCGTGCTACCCTGAGAATTTTTTAAAAACCTCGTACTTTGCCTGACACGGGAATCGAACCCGAGACCTCTTGCCCGGCAGTCGCACTTGCGTCTACTCGGCCAACGAGGCAGACTATTTTATAGATTTAGTATAGATTTTTATATATCATGATTTCATGTATAGGCACTTATAAAAAAGACATATTATTATTATTATATATATATATGTTATTACGAACACAATGTTGCGTGCATTTCTTATCATTTATCGTGACCAATATAAATATATGTGTTATTGATAGTGATAACAATAATACAGATTCAGATTATACTAATCTAGGTTTATTTAAGTAGTGCAAACGGCAGATTGAATGTCACCGTATTGACTAATTGTTTTAAGGCCTATTGTTACCGACTGGCTCATTGGCCGAGTGGTCGTGACTGCCGGACAAGGGGTCTCGGGTTCGATTCCCGGGTCGGGCAAAGTACTCAAACTCAAACTCTTTATTTGCATGTTAAGGTAATACATACAGGTCTTATGAAATAACAGGCACAGCTTAAAGGCCTTTTTCAGGCGTTGCAAATTTTAGGGGTGTCACTAGCTTATTAAAAATTACATTTTGGTTAACATTTTTTTTTTACATATTTATTGATTTGTTCGGAATATAGGTAAGTACTTAAGGTATATAATATATTATTGGGAAAATTACTTAAAATGTATAGTATATTGTATATCCACTTTATTACCATTACCATACCATATTACCACTTTATTCTCCCTTCTTAATTCTCCCAATTTTCCTACTTATCTTTCCCCCTATTTCCAGTATGTGAGCGCTAACCACAGAGCAAATACCTCCGTTCTTCTAACAATCTTCTGTTACAATGTCCCACACATCGAACTGACTTCCTTCACTCTTCTTTTTTCGTCCAATCCATCTTGCTGTGGAATGCGATGCCCACGGATATCAGGACGGCGACCAGTCGTCTGTCCTTCAAATTTAAGGTACGCGAGTATCTGCGGAAGAAGCTAGCAGACTCAACACACACTTAGGCCTTGTATGTATTTATATATTTATATGTGTATGTATATATGTATATATGTTATATTATGTTATATATTTTCCTTCGTATATTTAGGTATATATATGTCCATATATATGTCCATACTTATTTGTCTACTGTTCGTTTTGCATTACGGATATATTTTAATACTTCTTCATTATATTTAATAAGTATATTATATTCTGTGATGTGTATAATTATATATGATGTTAATGTTAACTTTAATATTAATGTTAATTATATGTAATACTTGTCAATGTATGATCAAAACTCACAAGTGTTAAACGTTGACACCTACTATTGTGTCTCTCTGCATCACCCTAAGGTTGACTGTTAGAGAATGCCACTGGGCATTAAGTCCGCCTTTGTATACCTACATGAAGTGTAAAATAAATAAATAAATAAATAAATATATACATAGAATATTGATATTTAAAATGTATAGTATGTTGGTGTGTGCTTGTGGGTGTATGTATGGGGTAGGTTTAACATTTAATTTTGGTGTTATATTTTTCTTCGAAGAATTCTTTTGTCGAGTAAAAGCATTTTTGTATTAATGGGTTTTTCAAAAAAAATCACATTAGTAGCACGGAGTCTGGAATTGTACCCGGTATATGACAATAGGCTCACCCCTATTACATGGGACTCATAACATAAATAGTGAAAAGTGGGTGTTACATTGTACAGTGGTATAATGTGCACCTCTGCCTACCCCTTCGGGGGTAAAAAGCGTGATGTGATGTTATGTTATCTATGGAGTCAAACATGTAAGGCAATATGACGTCATTGGATTAGAATTAGCTGTATTTATTGGAAGTAGATATGAGTAAATATACGGAGCCGCGGAAGACTTAACGGGTTGCCGGGGCTCCGGCTCGAAGTGCAGGAGTAGGAACGGGGTGGTTTTTAGCCAGTAAGAGTCTGACACTCCCTCCCGCCTCACCCAAGTCATTGGATGATTTTCCCCCCTCAAAAAAAAGATATGAGTATATGATATCTTATTGTTAGGTTTTATAAATAAGAAAAAAAAATATCTTTTGTTAGAAAACTTAAAAACTGTCATAGAGTTCACCTAACTCTTTGATATTAGAAACATATTGGTTTTTTTTTTGGCATAAGCCGGTAAACGCGCAGACGGATCATCTGATGGTAAGCAATCGGCGTCGCCCATGGACACACGGAACACCAAAGGCGTTACAAGTGCGTTACCGGCCTTTTGGGGATTAGGAGTTTGAGGATCGTTGGGGATTCAGGGATTGCGGAGATTGGGGAAGGGGAAGGTAATTGGGCCTCCGGAAACCTCACTCACACGACGAAACACAACGCAAGCGTTGCTTCACGTCGGTTTTCTGTGGGCATGGTATCACTCCGGTCGAGCCCGCCCATTCGTGCCGAAACATGGCTCTCCCACAACTGGTTTTAAACCATATTGGATTTTAAAAACTCAGACGGCAGGAAAAATTACTGTACCACCATTACAATGCACCTTGTTAACATCGAAATCAAATTACAAAATCAGGACGAGCTAAACCATAACTATTCATTGGAAAGAAAAACAACAACACATAAATAGGCAAATTGACTTTCAAATAGATTAAAATTCCCTCAACACCAAATACGCCGTCTCAATAACTTCCGAGCTTCCGCCATCTTGACTACTTCATTTTTCGAACCACAGACTACATTTTCCCGCTACGCGATGACGTTTCGTTTTTTTTGACTATGCCAACTTCCAACTACGTTTAAAAAAGCCGACTACAACCCCCTCTTTTTAGAAGTCGTTTTAATTTGCATGACCACTAATTCCGAGATGCATAAAACTTATTTTTATTATTTTTAGATATTTATTTACACACTTTATTGTACAGTATAAAAACATACTAACATAGAAAAATTAACATAAAAGAATGTGTACAATGGGCGGTCTTACAACCTTTGGATGGAGCCAGTAATAGGCATGGCGACTATTTTTTAATATTTTGTCCGTCTTTTAGATATTTTAAAAATCTTCGATACGTATTTTTTCTTTTTTCTCATATCCAAAAAAACATGTAGATATTTTGAGTTAAAATGACGCGTGACGTCACAATTAGGTACGATTTCTCCGTAAGTGTGACGTCAACACACCCCCCACTCCCTAACTTTAATGCGGAATAACTACGCATTGTTCTGTTAATTTGATAAAACAAAAAATACGTGTCTGATATTTTCGTGCGATCTTAATGACGGACTAATTACTTTTTTGATTTTTTTACCCTGTCGACACGCCTATTACTGGCTTAAAAACTGTATCTATGGAGTCCGGGCTCCTGATTAGGAGTTGGAAAAAAGGGGGTCGTCTAGTGTACAATAATAATTAAAACAATACATACAATATAATATTATCTATACCTACATACGAAATAAATAATATAGAGGTATACATTAAAATAGATATAACTACTACAATATTAAAAGTTTTTTTTTATTCCAGGTGAACGCAGACACATCTGAACAAAGAACATATGGGGAGGTGGCTCAATTAACACGTTCATCGCGGAAGCCCATTTATGCATCTAGTTAATATGACGCAACGAGATCTAAAAGTTCTCGTTGTGATCCATCAGGAATAACGCAACGAGATCCAGCAGATCTCGTACGACTTAGTCACTTCAAACCCCAATAGTTTTATGAAATTTGAAAATTTTTATATTTTTTTCGTATGTGTAGGTAGGAGATGATCAGACCTTTCAGCAGGCTTTCACCGCCTCAAGTTATGTCGAAAAAAATAATGGAAAATTTACAAAATAGAAAAACGAGAACTTTTGGATCTCGTTCTGCACTAGATAGCAAGAAAATGCGAGTACTTTTAGATCTCGTTTTGCAGATATTGCATAGTATCGATAAAAAAAATAGTGATGAGAAACAATAAGACCAACAACATTATCGATATTAATCATTTATTATAATACTATAGTGTAAGGCATTAGAAACTTATAAACTATTCAGTGCAAAAAATGTCAATGTTTTTCATTAAAACATGGAAGACACATAGTTTTTTCACACTTCACACAGAAACCTTTTACCTGTTTTGTCTTTTTATCCGCTTCCTTGCTAGTCATTGTTTTTCGTGCCTTCGTGAAAAAAGGAACCCCTGTGAATTTCGTTATGATGCTTTCTATAAAATTCTTCTTTGGTAACTTCTTTTTTTTTTTTTATTATATACCACCCATGCATTTACTATAGCTGTTCCAAAAATTAGTTCATTAGTAAGCTCTTGATAAGAATGTCCAGTACTTGGGCTAACACAAATATTTTCACTGCGCACTCCAGGAACACGTTTGAACACTTTCCGAAACAGAGTTGAAGATTTTGGAGATTGATTATTTTCATTTCTTACGTTAGGTTCTTCGGAAGAACTAAAAGAAAGTTCTAAAATTTTTCGACAGCGTTTGCGATTCGTCATCTTGATTACCTATAGCGTAATTGATATGCACACATCGAAAGTTGACACGGCACTAATTATTTTCTTGTGAGGATTCGCACGAAATCGCTACGAGATCCTTTAGTTCTCGTTCCGCGCTAGATGCAAAATTTTACTATTTGGTCGCAACGAGACCTATCAGATCTCGTTCGTTTTCATTCATAAAAATACTACATCCAATGTACCTAATATGAACAAAAATATTTGTCTCACTCTATCAGTAAAAAATCATACAGAAATATCATTTGCCGAAACGAGATGGACATAGGATTTCACTTGCGCGATACTAAAACGTCACAAACGAGAACTAAAAGGTCTCGTTCCGCGTTGAACGTGTTAACAGCTAATATTGCCCTCTCGCTCATTCGTTTAGGAATTAGAAAGGGAGATATAGTCTGCATTTGTAGTGAGAAGAACTTGGAGTTTTTGCCTACCGTTTTGGGTATTATGTGTTCGGGCGCCATCTTCACTCCTACTGACCCTACTTATGGCAGTCGTGAGTATATATTTATTTTTTATTTTTTTTAAAAACATTGCCCCACACTAGTATTTTTTCCTGTGTCGTGGATACGTTTACAAATATACAAGTTCACACACACATGTCAAAGTCAAAGTCAAAGCATTTATTCAATTAAAACAGTAAGTTTGGTACTTTTGAAACGTCAACAAATACAAAATAAATAATAGTCTGTCAGTCAGTCCGTCAGTGAAAAAAGGTGAAGCTAGGTAGCTAGGCATGACACCCAGACCCGGAACAACAATCTGTGGATCACACAAAGAGTTGTTCCGTGCGGGAATCGAACCCGCGACACGTTGCGTGGCAGCCAGTTGCCCAACCACCGTGCCAACCGTGCAGTCCGATTAACGTATGCCAAAATTAAAATCAAAACTGTATCGCTAAGAGTCAAAAGACTAGCACAGGGTGTGCAGTCAAAATGTGTGACTTTGTCTCTTGTGTCGTGGGTAGGGTTGCCACCCGTACTTTATAATAAAGTATTGTACGTTATTTAAGGTAATTGTACTCTATACTTTATAAGAATGTCGCGGAGAACCTAACGGGTAACCGGGGCTCCGGCTCGACGTGCAGGAGAAGGAACGGGGTGGTTTTTAGTCAGTAAGAGTCTGACACTCCCTTCCGCCTCACCCAGGCGGGAGCAGTCATTCGATGATTTTCCCCCTAAAAAAAATACTTTATAAGTACACGAAAATACTTTATTTTTGCAAAATTCGATATCGATATTTATCGACTTACGTTGAATCGATTTCGCCACTCGCCAGCGCCACTTAGACAATTTCTAGTAAAGATGCAATTGTTTAGTATTTCAATGTAATTGTTAAATAAAGATAGGTACTAATTTAATACAAACTGCAAAAAGCAATAAAAAGTATATTTTTAAATATAATCTATATATATAAAAGAAAGTCGTGTTAGTTACACCACTTATAACTCAAAAATGGCAGAATAGATTTGGCTGAAAATTGGTAGGGAGGTAGCTTAGAGCCAGGAGACCGACATAGGATACTTTTTAAACAATTTTTTTTTTACTTTTTACCGAAAATCACGATCGGGGACGGAAAAAATGGGATTACGCGCACGAAGTCGCGGGCAGAAGCTAGTACTAAATAAGAATAAATTGTACTTTATTTTTGTACTGTGTACTTTTTTTTCTTACCTATATTGTCAATGTACTTTAAATACCATAATAAAAGGTGGCAACCCTAGTTGTGGGTGCGTTTAAAACACCTTCATAACTCGACTCAAGTGCGCTCAATTCACTCGCTTGCTTTGTGTGGATGAGGTTACCGAAGGTCCAATTACCCCCGATAGCATCTTGATGTGACAATTAAAGTACTACTAAAGTAGAGGGGAATGTGGTCCCTCGTTAGCTGGTTATGAACCTACTCATATAATAACATAAATCACGCCTTTTATCCCTAAAGGGGTAGGCAGAAGTGCACACAGAATTTACACCCACTTTTCACTATTTATGTTATGATTCCCATGTAATAGGGGGTGAGCCTACTGCCATAACCGGGCACAATTCCAGACCCCCAGAGATTTTTTTACTTTAATACTTTGCCCGACCCGGGAATCGAACCCGAGACCCATGCCCGGCAGTCGCACTTGCGACCACTCGGCAAATGAGGCACTCATATAATACATACTTTTCTGTTTTCAGATCCCCTAGCGCATCGAGTAAAGATAGTGCGTCCAAAAGTCGTATTCTGTTCCCTCACCGCCTACAAAGAGCACAAACCAGTCTTTGAAGAAGTTGGATCCGTGAAGCACTACATTCTGTACGGAGATCAGGGTCAAGATGGGGCGATACTCCTCAAGGACTTTCTGACAGAGTCAGTGGCTTTGGAGGACTTTGAACCAGTCTCTGTGAACGGATATGACGATACCGCTTTCATCGTCTTCTCTTCTGGAACTACTGGTCTACCGAAAGGGGTTCCTGTCACTCATTTAGGGTTTCTGCTGAACGCGCAGAATATGACTCGAGAGTGAGTGTTATGAGTGTAGTTTTTTCTTATTAGGTCGACTTATGTACCTAGACAGTTACTCATGTCCCTGGGACGCGCCGGACTTCAGTTCCGGTGTCTTCATGGTTGTATCTCCTGTAGATCCTGGCACAGGAGTTGCAGCGGTTTTGGGAGGGCTGTGGCGGGCCTGTCCCATTAAAAAAAAATGGTCGACTTATGTAACAATCTAAGAATCTGAATTACACACACTTGTAATTTTGTATCGTCGTGAAACTCGGCAGTTGTATGTAGATTAGACGACAATACAATATTATGGTGCCGTCGATCTGGTTTGATGGTGGAATTGGAAGGGGACTGGAATCTTGGACTAAGGGTTATTTTCACTGGGACACCTGCACTATGGCGGCACTACCACCAAAATGTATACAGCTTTATAGAGAGACTAGCGGACCGGACAGACGTTGTCCTGCATATGTATAAAACGAAAGACCAATAAAATGATAATTATTATTGTTAGTTTAGGATAAATATCATAGACACTGACTGCAGCGCCATCTGCCGGACTGATTTGTGAATCTAACCATTCCCAGATCCCCTTCAACACACTCAAAAAAATTATCAAAATCGGTCCAGTCGTTTGAGAGAAGTTCAGTGACATACACACTCACAGTAGAATTATATATAAACAAAAGATACTCGCCTCAACGCCTGGTGACCGCTTAGTTGCACAACCAGCTTATCATTAACAGGTCTTTTTCTTCATCACCAACAGCCCATAATTGCCCACTGCTGAGCAAAGCCTCTTCTCACATGGAGATAGTTTGAGCATTAATCACCACGCTTGCTCATTGCGCGTTGGCGATTTCAAACTTATAATTTGAAATTATAAATCCAGGTTTCCTCGCGATGTTTTCCTTCACCGTTTGTCAGTGGTGTCTAAATAATCTTAGAAAGTACATATAACTCGGAAAAAGCCACATTGCTTTTGGTAGGTTTCGACCTTGCCCTCATGAATGAGAATTGAGCGTTTTAACCTCCAGGCTACCACGACATTGATGAGATGATCGACAGAGAGTGTTTTACTCTGTCGATCATCGAAAGGGGTTCAAAGTGCCAAGCACGATTACTATCGCATTCGTAACTGAATAGTATCGAGCGCGCTCGGCGCTCTGATTGGTCGGTGTGACCAGTGAACCAACCAATCAAAGACCTTACTAAGGCCGTACTAAGGCCTCTGAGCGGGGAATGCGCTCGATACTATTGGATATGTGCAAAGCGACTAGTGGCGGACAGATATCGACCGCAGCGCACAACACAGCAGAAATTGAAAACAAATGCGGATGATGCAAACCCGGTTTTTATTATTATATTAATTTTACAGTAAAACTATTGAATAAATCGCACTTAAATAATGTCAACAATACTATTTTAATCTTTGGTTTTATTTATATTTGCAAAGAAAATTATAAGTCAAAGTCAAAATCATTTATTTCAACGCCAGAATGGCACTTTTGAATGTCAAAAAAATAATATAAGTGAAGCTATTTGCTCATTCCAAGGTGTAGATTCCTATGGAGAAGAACGAGCAAGAAACTCCATAGGTTACTCTTTTTCAATCAGGTTCACAATACAATTTACTAGTTACATAGTTTTGCTGTTTGGTTTGTGTGAGAACAATGTACATACATATAATAATATAATGTTTACATTGTTATTATCTTACAGCTTTCGCAAATGTTGTGATCGCTATGCGTCGCCACTGTCGCGCACATAGCTAATAACGTTACGAATGCGATAGTAAATCGTGCTTGACACTGGTGAGAGGGGGTGGGTTTTTACTCATAATTAACTTGTTGAGTACCGTCATTATAGACACAATTAAAGAACAATAGGTTGCGGTCACCGGTGTCCTCGCGGTGTTTGACAGTTTAATTTATATTCTTTCAGTTACAAAGGAATGGTGATCTATACATCCCGAGAGTTCTACTACACATACGGACTGATGTATGCCCTCGCCTGTTTGAGATCTAATTCTACCCTCGTTTACAACCTCAACGGAGGAGAACTCCAGATGTTGGAAGCTATGCAAAAGTATAAGGTATAAATATCCAACTTCATAGAAATAGTGCTTCTATACAAGAAAAAGGAAACTCTTTGTTTCAATAAAGAAAGAAATGCTCGATGTCATAAGGAAACTAGATTGTCTACATTAGAATTAAATTATTAAATTATGTATTAAATTACCTACTATTGGAATTTAACTACAGACTACATTTGAGTATTGTCCAGTGGAGCCGTATATTTGGCGATCTGCTTCAAAAGCCCTTAGCAGATTTTTTAAGGGAGTTCACTGGCAAGAGAGACTGTTACTCCAGTGAAGAAGCGGTCTCTTACGTGGTTAATACTTGGATTCATCCGCTAGATTGAACTTTGACTAATTAATATTTATTGCAGTGTTTTGTTGACATGTATTTTAATTCAATTATTTAATTGCGGAACAATTTATTATCATCATATCCATTCTTATCTTGAAAAGTACACAATTATGTAATTCCTTTCTTAATTGGATTTTTGTCATGATATTAGATTATTTCTCGTTTGATTATTATTTTAATTGTTCTTTTATGTTTTTTTCCTTTTGTAAATGATTTTTATTTTTTGAGTGATAATTATGACTGATCCATGCTGCTGGGATTTATATTGCAATGTAATTTGTGACTATGAAGACATTCAGATACAATGTAAATTGTTTAAGAATAAATGAAATGAAATGACTGTATTGCCGCTGATAGAAGCTAGTAATATGTATTTCTATTCTACAGCCCAAGGTCCTCCAGTTGGCTCCAATGATCATCACAGAACTCATTAAGTCAGCAATCCTGGACAACTACGATCACAGTTCAGTGAACTACATTGTATCTTCAAGCACTTATATTCGAGAAGATGCAGTTTTGGCCATCAAGACTCGGTAAGATCTATTCAATTTGTATTGTATATATTTGTATGTGTAAAGTGGAATTTTGCAATTAAATTCATCAGCCCGATGGTCTATATGATTTGAATAGGTACTTCCGCGCGGTTTCACTCGCTCTGCTCGGCGCCTATTAATCGTAGCGTGACATTTTATAGCCTATATCCTTCCTCGACAAATGGGCTATCCAACACAGAAAGAATTTTTCAAATCGGACCAGTAGTTTTGGAGATTAGCGCGTTCAAACATACAAACTCTTCAGCTTTATAATACTAGTATAGATATGGGGTATATGGGATAGCCGAGGCGTGGGCGGGAGTTCGAATTTTAAATTTTAGCGCGAACGCGAATCCACTACATAAGGGCTCGTACACAAAACTGCGAACGATGCGATGCGAATTCGCAACGCAAAAAAATTACGATGGGAATTGCGGTACGAATTCGTGCGACGGCGTCTCCCAGGGTGACCATTCCTTCGACGACCGTCAACCGTACTAAACGTATTTTAAATTGAAAACTAGGTCGTGACATGGATCGTAAAAAGAAGTGTGCACTTCTGTTATTGCTTAGGAGATACAGGAAAAAGAAACAAAGAAGATTTTGGGAAGATAAGATTTTGATGCGCGATGCGAATTAATTCGCAAGTTCTTGCGATGTGTAGAGGGAGCTCGCACATTTTTGCAATGCGACGTCGCACATATTGTGTACGAGCCCTTACTCCTTCAACGTTTCGTTAGCGGGTGTGAGCGCGGAGTCCACCCGAGCGAGGCGTGGGCGGGAATTCTAATTTTGAATTTAAGCGCGAACGCGGACACACTGCGTCACCACCATTTTTCTTATTGCGCTACAAAGGAGGTTTTATCATAGAATTGCCTTTTTTTTTGTTGACGGGGAGAAACCTTCCAAAGGCGATTAGCTTTTTGGGGAAAAAGACTAGGGAGTGTGGGATTTTTACCTTACTAAAACCTCCCCGGTGGCCACCATCTGCACTTGAAGGAGGCACCGGGTCCTCTTAGTAGACCAACCCCGGTGCCCCCACAGTGCAATGCCTGTTACGGCACTTCCCTATGGAGACCTATGTGTCGCTCCTAGAGCCTCTCTGTGCACTACACGGCGGCACGTAACCACTGTGCCGCCGTCATCCTTGAGGTCATTAGGTGGGCGCCTAGATTCCCCACTCTATGCGCCCATGACCCCAAATCATAGAATTGCCTACAGTCTCCTTGCCGGCTTTTACAGCATCCACAAGAGGAGCCAGGGTTGGTAACAATAGGGTAGTTTCCTAAATTTTATTTTAATGTCCGTCTGGTACATTAATTTAAAACTTTAGACACGTATATTTTCTTTTCTCACAAAATTTAATACTTTCGACGATATATTAATTTGAAATATCGTGTGACGTCACAGCGTGCCACATTTTGTAGCACGTTATGACGTAACGACCAACTCCTAAACTTAGCGCCATTTTATCTAAGTATGGCAAATTAATACGAGGAAATAAAAAAAATACGTGTCCAATATTTTTTCATTATCTAACTGACGGACTAATTGGATTTTTTATTAAATGGTTTTATTTAGCTCACCCCGTTTGTTTTATTTATTATTTATTCTTGGGTCAAATTTAGTAATTCAAATTTCACCCTCTTCCTGTCAACTGATTAATCTGAAATTTTGTATACACTTTGGATTTTGGTGACAATACAATTATGTTTAAATTCATTATCATTATAAATTCAAGATGGCCGCCGCTACAAGATGGCGGATAATTTATGTTTTATTAATTTTGATATCCTGGAAATTACCCAAATGTACACTACCATTATCACACGGTTAAACGTACCCTGTCTATTTTTCCAGAATACCAAGTCTGGTGTCAGTTCTCCAGCTGTACGGCATGTCTGAAGGTGGAAGCATCTGCAACGAGCTGGCGTGCACTAATGGGTACAAGGCAGGCAGCTCAGGATTACCTGGACTAGGTTTTATCATGAAGGTACGTTATTTTTAAGGTGGTAGAATAAGTTAGCTAATGTTCAAATCGTATTCGGAGTCGCGGAGAACCTAACGGGTTACCGGGGCTCCGGCTCGACGTGCAGGAGAAGGAACGGGGTGGTTTTTAGTCAGTAAGAGTCTGACACTCCCTCCCGCCTCACCCAGGCGGGAGGTAGGTTCAAAGATGGCATAATTTTATCATAATATGTCTAACAAAATAAAGTGTGGGAGAGCCATGCTTCGGCACGAATGGGCCGGCTCGACCGGAGTGATACCACCAACAAGCAGAAAACTGAAATTGAGAAAAACGACTTGGGAATTAGGAAAGAAAATGGGAATAGGGAATTTGAGAATTGTAGAGGATTCGGGAGACAGGGAATAGGGGGGGGGGGGTGGTAATTGGGCTTCCGGTAACCTCACTCACACGACGAAACAACGCTGTGGTTGTTTCACTGTGGTTTTCTGCTCGTTGGTGGTATCACTCCGGTGGAGCCGGCCCAGCAGTGCCGAAGCATGGCTCTCCCACATTTGGAAATATTCTATATCTTTGAGCCGTTTGGGTTTGAGACGTTAGGTTCGTGGGATCCGAGTGTCTATATTTTATTTAAGAGTATATCAAATGCCTGGTTGACGTATCTCGTGACCTTGAAGATTTTTCTAAATATTTGAAAATAACATAACATAACATTACGCCTTTTATCCCCGAAGGGGTAGACAGAGGTGCATATTACGACACTTAATGCCACTGTACAATGTAACACCCAATTTTCACTATTTATGTTATGAGTCCCATGTAATAGGGGATGAGCCTATTACCATATACCGAGCACAATTTCAGACTTCGTGCTACCACTGAGAATTTTTTAAAACCTTACTAGTAATACTTTGCCCGACCCGGAAATCGAACCCGAGACCGGCAGTCGCGCTTGCGATCACACGGCCAACGAGTCAGTACTTGATAGTAGGACTGGATTATGTATTGTGATAATGTTATGTAGGCGATAGGCTCACCCCCTATTACTTGGGACTCGTAACATAAATAATGAAAAGTGGGTGTTACATTGTACAGTGGCATAATGTGCACTTCTGCCTACCTCTTCGGGGATAAAAGGCGTGATGTTATGTTATGTTTAATGCGTGTTTTTTCCTCTTACAGGTGGTAGACTTGGAGACGAGGCAACCTCTGGGTCCAAACCTTCGAGGAGAGATTTGTATTAAAGGTCCTAGTGTAATGAAGGGTACGTATGAATCTTATCTTCTATGTATCTTATACTTCTCTTACGACATGAGCTTCAGCATGAGTTTTATCTGTAACTAGCTTCTGCTCGCGACTTCGTACGCGCAATCCCATTTTTTCCCGACCCCGTTCGTTATTTTCGGTAAAAAATTGGTTGCCTGTAAAGTCGGTATACGGGCGAAAGTTTTACGTGACAACGACTTTGAGTGGTAAAATATTATGTCTGACTCTCTCGCTCTTAGGCGGGCTAACTGTGCTCGAGTGGAAGGTACGCGTGCCTTTCACTTTTTATGTCTGTCTCTCTCGCTCTTAGGCGGGCTAACCATGCCCGAGTGGAAGGGACGCGTGCCTCTCACTCGCTCTCATTGTGAGCGCATAACGTGAGCGGAGCGTAACGCAGTTTCTTGAAGTGTCACCCGGCAAACCAATTTATAAGACGTTGTCACGTCAAAAGTAAAAAAAAAAAATTTGATTAAAAAGTATCCTATGTCGGTCTCCTGGCTCTAAGCTACCTCCCTACCAATTTTCAGCCAAATCTATTCTGCCATTCTTGAGTTATAAGTGGTGTAACTAACACGACTTTCTTTTATATATATAGACTAGCTTCTGCCCGCGACTTCGTACGCGCAATCCCGTTTTCTCCCGTTCCCGTAAGATTTTCAGGATGTATTTCTATCATAAGAACCTTCTCCTGACAATAACAAACACAACAAAAAAAATCAGCCAAATCGGTCTAGCCATTTTCAAGTTATGGCGTGACAACGGGAAACGGATTTCATTTCTATATATATGTATAGTTTAAAAATTATGTTAAAACTAGCTTTTACCCGCGGCTTCGCTCGCGTCACAAAAGTATAAAAAGTAGCCTATGTGACATATACCTATACATACAGCGCCATCTATACCAATACTTTTGTTTTCCCTCGGGAACATCAAATTTTTTCGGGATAAAAAGTATCCTATTATTTAATCCAGACTACTAACTTTACGTCTGCAAAAATTCAATGCAATCGGTTTAGTAGTTACGGCGTGAAGTCGGAACAAACAAACAAACAAACTCACTTTCCGATTTATAATATTATAGTAAGGATAGTAGGGACTAGCGACGCGCCCCAGTTTCCCACGGGTGCAGTATGCATGTATTATATAATAAACCTTCCTTAAGAATCTCTCTATCTGTTAAACTACGCAACGTATTTTGATTCGATTTCTTTAATAATTAAGGGTTGGGATGAAGAGGGCAAGCTTGTGTTATCACTTCCCTCCCTTTATTTTTAGTTAATTTTAAGTTGTATAATGTATATTTATTCCTTTATTATTTTTCATTAATCAAATTAATGTAGTATAAAACAAAGTCGCTATCCGCCGTCTGTCTGTACATATGTATGCTTAGATCTTTAAAACTACACAACGGATTTTGATGCGGTTTGCTTTAATAGATAGCGTGATTCTTAATGAAGGTTTATATGTATAATACATGCATATAACACCCGTGCGAAGCCGGGGCGGGTCGCTAGTTCAAAATAAAAATTGAGAAATCGAAAATACAATACTTTGCCTGACTCGAGAATCTAGCCCAAATTATATTCATCACGAACATTTCCGCTCGACTCTTGATTACCGAAAGACGTCAAATATTCATGATCTTTTAAAATATTCTTCATTAAATGTTCCAGCATACCTGGGGAATGTTCAGCCGGACTGCAAGGATGAGGAAGGGTTTCTGAAGACTGGAGACATTGGCTACTATGACGAGGACGGATACTTCTTCGTTGTCAACAGAATCAAGGAGCTGATAAAGTTTAATGATATTTCTGTAAGAAAATATTCCTCTTTTCTTTTTTTTAAAAACGATGCCCCACACTAGGATTGTCTCCTCTCTCCTGTGTCGTGTGTGCGTTTACAAACATACAAGTTCACATACACATGACACCCAGACCCGGAACAACAATCTGTGGATCACACAAAGGGTTGTTCCGTGCGGGAATCGAAACCCTGACACGTTGTACGGCAGCCAGTTGCTCAATCGTGCAGTATAACTAATCCGATAGAACGCGAATGGATCGCCTCGACCGCAGACCGACCACGGCCTCACAGGAAACTGGCGAGATATAACGCTTGCGTTGTGTTTCGTCGTGTGAATGAGATTAACGGAGGCCCTATTCTTCACCGTCCATCCCTGTGAATGTGGATCACATAAAGATTTGCTCCGTGTGGTGTACACGCTGCGGGGCAGCCGGTGCCGCGCAGCGTGCCGCTGGTTTATCCTAGAAATTGTCGGTCCTTTGGAACCTCGGAGAATGGGAGCCCTAGGCACAGGCCCTAAGTCATCAATCATCATCATCAACAGCCTATAAATGCCCACTGCTGAGCAAAGCCTCTTCTCACACGGAGAAGGTTTGAGCATTAATCACCACGCTTGCTCAATGCGGGTTGGCGATTACAAACTTATAATTAGAAATTATAAGCCCAGGTTTCCTCACGATGTTTTCCTTCACCGTTAGTCAGTGGTGTCTAAATAATCTTAGAAAGTACATATAACTCGGAAAAGTCACATTGGTACTTGCCGTTGGTAGGTTTCGAACCCGCATTCTCATGCATGAGAAGCCAGCGTCTTAAACCTTCGGGCCACTACGACCAGGCCCTAAGTGCCCTTACGGTATAATCGGTGCGATTTAAGACTATCTGTTAAGCAATTGATTAAAACTATGAACTCTTGCCTGATCAGGTGGCACCAGCAGAATTCGAAGACATACTACTCCAGCATCCTGCTGTTCGTGAAGTGGGTGTCGTGGGCAAACCTCACCCCGTGCATGGAGAGGTTCCAGTAGCCTTCATAGTCCTGCAGTCAGGAGCTACAGCTTCTGAACAAGAACTGGTGGAACATATTAACAGTCGGGTGAGCACTTAAAGCTTTAAAATTTTAGGAATACGTCGGCGTGATACCACGCCCTCATACAGAAAACTAGCGTGAAAGAACTCTTGGATTTTATTTCACCGTGTTTTTTTTAAGGGGGGGGGGAAATCATCGAATGACTGCTCCCGCCTGGGTGAGGTGGGAGGGAGTGTCAGACTCTTACTGACTAAAAACCACCCCGTTCCTTCTCCTGCACGTCGAGCCGGAGCCCCGGTTACCCGTTAGGTTCTCCGCGACTGCGAATGGGCATCGGCCCTGTTGGGCCCCATCTGTGGTGGTCTGATGGCTCTTTGAGGCGCGCGCGGAACGCGACGCGCCGTACGCTCGGGTCTGTTTCTGGTCGGACGGGGAGCCACGGATGCTCGCCGTCCGCAGGCCCGCGCTTACGGTGGCCGGAGATCGTCTCGCGGTCCCCGACGCACGGTGTGTCCTTCGCGAAGGCTGGGTTGCGAGGAGGCAGCGCTTGGCTGCCTCACGCGTCCCGCCTCCTCCTTAGCTAGTTTATTGCATCGTGTTACAGGTTTATATGGAGTTTAGCAGTGCTCTGTCAAGATCTGTTGATGATAACATATTCTTAAATTTCAGGTTACCTACAGAATGCGTTTAGCTGGTGGAGTCCGCTTCATTAACCGTCTTCCCCGAGGAGCTGGGGACAAGCTGGACAGGATAAACCTGATGAAAAGACTAGTAGACGAAGACGCCAACTGACGAAAGACCGCGGCGGTCTTTTTAGAAGACCATTTTAGTTTTAAATATGAATGTAAATGGAATATTTGTAAAACTATTGTATTACCATGATAAAACCATTTTAGTTTGGGACGAAAACGAAATAGATTTTACGGTGTATATATATACAGGTGTCTCTGAAATCGAAGTTCTAATGGAACCAGGTGATGCCCAAGGTTAGAAAGAAAGAAAAAACATTTATTCAGCACCAATCACGATGCAGCATAAATAAAATATGAAAAGACAATAAAAGTGAAACCGAAGAATTAGAAGAGAGACGCTGACAACATGTCTATGCTAAAAGGGTCACCCACTCAGTGTAAGCCAGGCATACAAGTCACCCAGCACTGATTTTCAGTGGGCGGGTGCCCATTATAAATCGGAAAGTGAGTTTGTTTGTTTGTTTGTTCCGCTTTCACGCCGTAACTACTAAACCGATTGCTTTGAATTTTTGCAGAAGTAAAGTTGGAAGTCTGGATTAAATAATAGGGTACTTTTTATCCCGGAAAACTTGATATTCTCGAGGGAAAACGAAATTATTGGTATAGATGGCGCTATGTGTATTTGTATATGTCACATAGGCTACATTTTATACTTTTGTGACGCGAGCGATGACGCGGGTAAAAGCTAATAAAATATAAAAATGACAATGAAAGTGAAACAGAATTCTGGGCCGCTGCTCAAGTGCTGCAAACTCCTTAAGTTTGCAAAAGAATGTCATTTTTTGACGAACGACGTATTCCAAATACATTTTTCACCTTTGAATGGTTGTATTGAAAAAAATTGTGCAGCCCTAGTAATGGCAAATTTGACCAAAATTGGACCTGTACAGATCACCTGGTACCATTTGTACGTCGACTTCAGGGACACGCTATACATATCTATATAAGAGTTCCATGCAAGGTGTCGGGATGCGGAGATGGTGTTGTTATTTCGAATAATATATAAATATTTTGGTATAAGTAATTATGTGATTTCATTTCCTAAAATAACATACCTATAATCACGCCTTTTTATCCTCGAAGAGGAAGCTCATTGTGGCACTTAATGCCACTGTATAATGTAACACCCACTTTTCACTATTTATGTTATGAGTCCCATGTAATAAGGGGTGAGCCTATTCCCATATACCGGGGTCAATTCCTAATGCCGTGCTTCTATTGATTTTTTTAAACATAGTAATTATGAGCTCGTCCCGGAAATCGAACCCGAGACCCCTTGCCTAGCAGTCGCATTTGCGACCACTCAGTCAACGAGGCAGTCAATTTGATGATTTCATTTCTTTTCGTCTATAATATTTCTAACTAAATTAATGGTCAAACGTCGATACATTAAAAATATAAAAATAAAGTGTATCCTGAATGTGATTGGTACAATCAACCAAGTTATTATATAGATGGTTGGCAGGCCACAACTTTATTAACAATATTTCTCGTAGCTTTCTGCCTCGTATAGCAAAACTGTGGAATGATCTGTATTCTTAACCTTTCAGAAAAGAGCGTATTCCTTTTTAAAAGGCCGGCAACGCACCTGTGACTCCTCTGGTGTTGCGAGTGTCCATAGGCGGCGCTGATCGCTTACCATCAGGTGATCCGTCTGCTCGTTTACCGGCTTATGCCATAAAAAAAACAAAAACTTCCTAGTTACTCTTTAAAAATTCAGAGGAGTCTGGTCAATTTCACACGACACCCACTAAACCATTCCTTAACTGAGAGTTACTTAGCGTGAGGGAGTACCTAACTAACCCTTTACCTGTACCTGTGTTGGTGTCACTGACACTTATACTAAAAGGTCGTTAAGCGTCACTTATGTAAGGCTAAGCGTTACTTAGTAATAGGGTTCTTTTTTACCCTTTCTTATGATAGAACCCTTGAATAACAAACCTTCGTTAGGGGCCCCCCTGTCGACTAAAAATAGGCATTGAAGTGTGCCCTAGTGATTAGGCACCAAAATATTTCATTTCGGATCTAGATACAGGTGTCGATAATTTGAATTGAATACGGTATAAAATATGTACATCATATTACGCTTGAAGTGGTAAACAGAGTACTTTATATTTAGGGCCGACATAGCTCGCAAAGATTCAGTCTTTGCGATGTGTGATGATTTGTCAGTCTTAGTGGCAATGGGCAGGCTACGTCGCTCGACGGACTGACGGCAGATGGGCCAGAAAACCCTGGAGTGGGGACCACGGACCGGAAGACGAAGTGTGGGCAGGCCTTTTTTTTTGAAGGGGGAAAATTGCCTTGGGGTGGCGGGATGTGTCAGACTCTTACTGACTAAAAACCACCCTTGTTCTTACCAGGAGTAACTTCGAGCCGGAGCCCCGGTAACCGGTTAGGTTCTCGGCGACTCCGTATCGGGCATCAGCCCTACTGAACCCCATTTGTGGTGACTCTCGGCCTCCTGCTAGGTGGACCGACGACATCGCCAGAGTTGCGGGGAGCCAGTGGATGCGGGTGGCGAGTTGTCGTTCGACGTGGAGGACTAAGGGGGAGGCCTTTGTCCAGCAGTGGACGTCTTTTGGCTGTTGATGAAGATTTCTAACGCCAGTTACATTTTATGACAGAAATATCTAATATAAATTTTCAGAATTAACTTTTGATTGAAAAATCGACCTTTAGCGAAATAAATAAATGTAAATATGTAATGGCTAGGCAATGCCATTCTCTCGAGATTAGGGCTCAACCGAGATTTCACAAAATAGACGACTGACTGACAGACGGACATTTTTAACATTTCAATATTTTGTTGTACAACGTTTCAAATTACTTTCATGATAAAATTGAAATAAATGATTCAGACTTTCTTTGAGTTTTGAATATCATGCAAAAATCCTTTAGTAAAGTCGCTAAAAATGGACGTGATATCGTGAAATCGATATCTCGCGAGATCGGGATTGCATTCTCTAGTAATAATATTATCTTATCTTATTGGCGTTGCAAAGATTATCCGCGCGCCTCTAGCGGCGTAATTTAGAAGTTGTCTAAGAACGACACTTTGATTTCAAGTTGAGGAAAGAAAGAAATGGATCACGATTACATACAGAAACCTGTTTTTAATAAAAGCAGAAACACAAAATATGGTTGCGTTCCTCAATGTAATACTTACGGAGATTGAGGAATAAGTTTTCATTTATTTTTCAAAGACAAAATTATGAATATAATTAATTTTCTTCCGGTATGGAAAGAGGAAAGATCAGCTGTGAATCAATTAACCCTCTCAGATTTACTCAGCAGTGTTATACCTATATCGCGGAGAACCCAACGGGTTACCGGGGCTCCGGCTCGACGTGCAGGAGAAGGAACGGGGTGGTTTTTAGTCAGTAAGAGTCTGACACTCCCTTCCGCCTCACCCAGGCGGGAGCAGTAATTCGATGATTTTCCCCCCTTAAAAAAAAAATTATAAAAAAAAAGTGTTATACCTATATTTATTTACTTTTACGGGTATTCATTCAATTGAAGTTTTAGAAACATTGGTAACTTGTGTTAGTGAATACAAACAAGTAAATGTTATTGTAAATGATCAGACGGATCACCTGATAAGCAATCGGCGTCGCCCATGGCCACCTGGATCACCAGAAGCGTTACAAGTGCGTTACCGGCATTTTGGGGATTAGGAGTTTATGGATTGTTGGGGATTCAGGGATTGGGGAGATTGGGGAACGGGGGAGGGAGCTGGGCCTCCGGTAACCTCACCTGGACGAAATACAATGCAAGCGTTGCTTCACGTCGGTTTTTTGCTCAGCCGTGGTATCACTCCGATCGAGCCGGCCTATTCGTGCCGAAGCACACTCATCGACACAACTAAGTTGCTAACATCATTCACCAGACACTCGCCATTGAACACAACCTCATAACAGACACGCACACTCCATACTACAAATACACTGCTAGCACCATCCTAGAGAATTCCACTCATAAAATGTACTAGGATCGCGCAATACTTACAGACAGAACCGTGCACTTGTAGGATATAGCTAAGGTACAAGATAATATATACATAATAAATACTTACATAAAACATACATACATACACATACACACATTCATACTATAACTCTTAAAACTTTACAACATTTGTCATCAACAGCCTATAAATGCCCACTGCTGAGCAAAGCCTCTTCTCACACGGAGAAGGTTAGAGCATTAATCACTACGCTTGCTCAATGCGGGTTGGCGATTTCAAACTTATAATTAGAAATTATAAGTCCAGGTTTCCTCACGATGTTTTTCCTTCACCGTTTGTCAGTGGTGTCTAAATAATCTTAGAAAGTACATATAACTCGGAAAAAGTCACATTGGTACTTGCCGTTGGTAGGTTTCGAACCCACACCCTCATGCATGAGAAGTGGGCGTCTTAAAACATTTATACACGGCATTTATATACTTACAACATTTGTACTCGGCCTTATGCTTCCGCACGCTTGTACACACCCTTAGCTATACCTACACACGGCCCGGCCGCTAGCGGGGCCCCGGCCCGCGTTGATGGACTCGGCATCGAAATTGTTATTCTCTTTTCGTTTTGTATAACTGAAAGGAGAACGGCAGATTTTGTACCGCTTCGCTAAAAAAAGATTTGTCATTAAAAAATTGGGTCATTATAGAACCTCCTAAGTACGTTATGTTAGCATATTTAATAGATTTTTAAAACTTGGGAAACCCTAGAAAAACTGATATTCAATAATGATAAAAAGCAATCCACTATACGTAAAACGAACCGCGATTGACGTTTACAAAGTTGCCATGCGTAAAGATGAAATCAGAGCTTATTGATTTTCGCTATTTCATAAACTCATTTATTTTAATATCTATCAATGAAATATTTTCCTTTCCATTTCAAACATTTTTATAAGTAAATATAAAAATCTACATCCAATCTAAATCTACGTTTACATGGATTATTAATGATAATTAACATTTTAACAAACTTGAATATTATGGCAATGTTGAACTGGCATTTGTCTTGATGACATTGAC